GTATCTACGACAATCTGGGTACATGCGCCCAATACAAGCTAAGTACCAACAATAAGTACAACCCTTTAACCTTAGAAACCCAAAGCCCTAAGCCCTTAAGCCCTAAGCCCTTGGCCCTGCGCTAGTATGAGCCAGTGAGCCAGTAACCCTAAACCCTAAACCCTATAAACCCTAAACCCTAAACCCTTGGACCTATGTGGCTGCAACATCCGGTCGGGGGCATAAGGCTTCTGGCGGGATGGAGCCTGGGTTTAGGGTTTAGGGTTTAGGGTTTAGGGTTTCGGGTTTAGGGTTTAGGGTCCAAGTTGTTCCCCTTCTTGCCAGAGAGCCCATGTACCTCAATAGTATTCACGCTAGGAAGAAACATTGAATCTCAAGTATATACCCTATACCTTAGACCTTTGCATGGACCCTTAGGGTATTTATGGTTATAAGTTATAACATTTCCGATATCAGTATCAGGTCTCCAAACGGTATGCCACAACAAATGGGTGCAGGAACGGTTCAGGGGAGCTGCAAAGAAAGCCGCATCAAGAACGTTGTAGCACACCCTGAATGCCAAACCCTCACGCACCGTTAAGTAACACCTGCCCAGCCGTCGCAAACCTTTCGAAGAACCATTTACTAACTTGACCCTAATAAGCCCTGCGCAGACCGACAATGAACCCACCAAGCGAAACGCAACGCGCCACCCCGACTCAACCCCAAACCCCCCCTAGACCCCCATGACCCAACAGGGCTAATGGGTCTAGGGCTTAGGGTTTAGGGCAGTTCTCCACATTACGCCCTTCTTGCGTCACCAATTAAGAAACCCTAAACCCTCAACCCTACGCCAAACAGTAGTTTAGGCTTCTCGGTCTTTTATTCTGGGCTAGACCCAAGAGTAACCTAGGAATGAAAAGGGTGCCCTTTTTGTAAGGAGAAAACACATCAGGATGGCCAAAGAGCAGGATGGCCGGGGAACTTCGACGAAGACTCGGGATCCCAACGGGCCGAGACGAAGTTCGACGAAGGCCGGGGGGCCGGGCGAAGGTTCGACGAAGGCCGGGAGGTTCGACGAAGGGGGAGGGGGTTCGACGAAGGCCGATACAAAAGGCCAAGACAAAGCCCGAAAAAAAACGCGAGGGGTCGACGAAGGCTGAATGAACGCCGGAGGTTCGACGAAGGCCACAAGGGCCGGGAGGGGGGTTCGACGAAGGCCAAGGGTTTCGACGAAGGCTAGGGGGGTTCGACGGCCTTTGCCGAAGGCTGTGTCCCATCCGCCCCCATACGCCGTCCTGATCGGTTTGCCCCTGATTTTGGTTTTTAAAGGGGTTTATGAAGGAACCTAGACCCTAAGACAAGGGAATAAGGGCCCTGTAGTGGGGCTGACTGGCCATCTTCGCGGGTAGTTGGGGAGCTCAGGCAATTGGACCCCCCGGAGCCCTGGATTGCAAAAGCTTCGCGTAACTTGTGCAGGGGTTTAGGGTTTAGGGTTTAGGGTTTAGGGTTTAGGGTTTAGGGTTTAGGGTTTAGGGTTTAGGGTTTAGGGTGCCCTAGAGGCGATCCGTTTTCAAGAAGATGCTTTGGAGCCAGTAAAGCCCTTTATTTCCGAGAGTGTCAGGTTTGAGATGCCCCCTCAAAACCCTAAACCCTAAACCCTAAAACCCTGAGCCCTTAAACCCTGAACCCCTAAACCTTACAAGCCCTAACCCTAAACCCTAAACCCTAAACCCGAAACCCTAAACCCTACATGATCCTCTAAAACGCATGGAAGCGATACAAGAGGCCGTTCCCATGGACAAGCCACACGGTGCGCTTTGCCCGACTCTGCCCGGATTACGATCTAGAGACTCCAATACCCCTTAATTAAGGAATCTGTTCCTTAAACCATACCAAGGAACCCTATTTTTGTTTGATAAGGAATATATTCCTTACACCATATAAGGACACCCTATCTTTTGTTTAATTAAGGAATATTCCTCAAACCATACCAAGGAACCCTATTTTTGTTTAATAAGGAATATATTCCTTACACCATATAAGGAACCCTATCTTTTGTTTAGTTAAGGAATATTCCTTAAACCATATAAGGAACCCTATCTTTTGTTTAGTTAAGGAATATTCCTTAAACCATATAAGGAACCCTATCTTGTGTTTAAAACCATACTCGGAACACTATCTTTGTTTAATAAGGAGTATGTTCCTTAAACCATACAAGGAAACCTGTCTTTTGTTTAATAAGGAATATTCCTTAATTTTAGGGTTCTTGGAGTTCAATCCTCTCAGTTCGAGTCGACAGCTTGCAGCAGCTGAAGAATCTGAGCATGACCCCGTTCCTAAGGTTTTCAGTGACCCAAGGAAAAAAACGTACATACTTTCTTGGGCTACTTACCTATAATAGGGAACCCAGAACAAAAAACACGATAACAAAAGCAACAAAAAACGTATAATACTGAACAGCCTGGGTTCAGATGCATGCATGCAAGCGGTCTGGCCGTGGATGTCCCTCAGGCTCGTGTTAGCACGAGCATGCAGCAGCAGACGTGCAGTCTCAACGTGGCCAAAGTTCGATGCGAGCATGAGAGCGGAGTTGCCGATAGCGTCCTGCAAGTTCATGTCGGCGCCTGCCCTCAGCAGCAGACGTGCAATCTCAACGTGGCCCTCGCTAGATGCGGCCATGAGAGCGGAGCTGCCGGCCACGTCCTGCAAGTTCATGTCCGCACCAGCTTCCAGCAGCAGACGAACAATCCTAGGATGGCTCGTAAAACCCTCTGAAAAACATTCCTCAATATGATCCTCTTAAACCCTCTTAAACCCAATATCAGGGAAAAAATAAAATGTCCCAAAAGGGCCAACCGAGAATCTCACCCTGGCCACGATCACATGCCTAGTTCATGGTTGGGATAGTTTTTAATATTAAATTTATATTCCTTATTGGGTTTAAGTAACCTTTAAGAATGTAAAATGCTACCCAACTATAGTTTATATTCCTTATTGGGTTTAAGTACCCTTTAAAAATGTAAAATGTTACCAAACCATGACAAAGTTTAGGGTTTAGGGTTTAGGGTTTAGGGTTTAGGGTTTAGGGTTTAGGGTTTAGGGTTTAGGGTTTAGGGTGCCTTCATGAGGGCGGTCATTCCGAGCACGGCCGGGAAGTTCTTGTCGGCCCCCGCTTTCAGGAGAGCATGGGCCACCTTGAGAATGAGCCCTAAAAGGGTTTAGGGTTTAGGGTTTAGGGTTTAGGGTTCATATTACCCAATATAAGGATTACAGTAGTATAGGGTAGATGGTCCCAATTTTGGGGTTCATTTCGTTCCCGAGGCACTTCAACATGGCCCGTCTCTGCTACGTACTCCAAAAACTCGCGTGCACCCTCATACACCTGCTCCAAACCGACGAGTTCGGACAGCAGCACCAGCTGAAGGTCAGCAGACTCATCCACAAGAGCACGCTCCTCCAAAACTCTCTCATCCTGAAGGATCTGTTGAAGGCATGCTGGGTAGCTGTACAGACTGCGCAGGTGGCGCTTGACGTCGCGCACGTCCCTGAGGACATCTGCGGTTGCGGTGGCCAGCACTTCCCCCGACAAGCTCCGCACACGCACCATGGCACTCGCATCCGTCATCCACTATACTCCCCTTATAACCTTAATAAACATAATGATGTTTAATGTCCTCTTGGGTTTTATAATACCAAAAACAATCATACACTATACTCCCCTTAGACCCCCCTTAGAACCTTATATAAAAAAAACATACGCTTACTACCCTCTTGGTTTGAAATAACAAAACCCAAAAAGAATTCAAAGGGGATAAAAATAAAAATAAAAAACAATATGATTACTATCCTCTTGGGTTTGAAATAACAAAAACACAAAAAGAATCACAAGGGGGATATAGTCCAGGGATGCCATGTACAAAATACTCGGACACACGGGAGTCCTTACCATACTATACTGTACCTGGGAAGGGTTTTAGGGTTTAGGGTTTAGGGTTTAGGGTTTAGGGTTTAGGGTTTAGGGTTTTTCGGGTTTAGGTTTAGGGTTTAGGGTTTAGGGTTTGGGCCAGGTAATCCACAACCATGTGCCCAAGGCACCTACAATATGGGGTTTACGATAATAAGGGACCTCATATAGACCCCCAATCCGTAAAAAAAAAAATGACCCCAATAAGGTACCCCCAAGATCGTAAACCCCCAATCTGTACATGGACCCTTTTCTTCTTACTTCATTCTCCAGAACCCAGGGAAAAAGGCTAAAATTCAATATTCCTACTAAATAAGGAACCCAAAAAGTTTAGGGTTCAGGGTTTAGGGACTAAAGGCGAAGTAAGTCTTCGGAACTGTTGAGACCTTTGCGCCGAGCCAGTCCGCCCCTTGCCTTGGATCCCTAAAAGGGGGTTTAGGGTTTAGGGTTTAGGGTGCACATAATAAGGATTGTAGTAGTATAGGGGAAGATGGTCCCCAATTTTAGGGCTGTTTTTGGTTCCCAAAGGAGGGGCTCGAGGCCTCTAGCGGGTGGGGTATGGGCCCCCAAGCTATCAGCAGAATTCTCAGGGTACATCAAGGCGGTAGCATACATACCCAAATACCAAACCCACATAACACACCCATGGAACACCCCGGCGGCGCGCCCCCCCTGACAAAGCCGTCGAAGAAACCGTTGACTACTCGCCGGCTCCCCGACCCTAAACCCTAAAGCCTAAACCCTAAACCCGAATCCCAAGCCCTAAGCCTTGGGCTTACTTGCCAGGTCGTTCGATCTTGTATAGGGTAATTTAGGATTTCGGGCTCAGGTTTTTCCCCCCCCCCTGTTCTGCTGCGGCCCATCATATTCCCGAAGGGCCCCGTGCAAAAGGGAGCAGATGTGTGGGCAGCAACTGACCAATCTCAGCATGACCCGATCGCGTGAAGTCGAACGTCTGGTCTGGATGTCCTGCAAGCCGTGTGTCAGCACCAGCATCCAGCAGCAAGCGTGCAGTCTCAACGTGGCCTCGGCCCGGATGCCCACATGACAGCAGTCATGCCGTCCAAGTCTGCAAGTTCATGTCGGCACCGGCTTCAAGAAGCGACGTACAATCTCGACGTGTCCCCGGGCAGATGCACACATGAGAGCAGTCCTCGCTGATCATGTCTGCCAAGTTCACTTCGGCGCCAGCCTCCAGCAGCAAACGCACAATCTCCACCTGGCCGTGTTCAGAGCGCGCATGAGGGCGGTCGTGCCAGCACTGTGCCGGAGGTTCTTGTTGGCGCCAGCTTGCAGCAGTCTGGGCCACTTCAACATGACCAAACTGGGCAGCATACTCCACAAGCTCGTGTGCACACCTATACTCCCCTTAGAACCTTAATAAAAAAACTATGTTTAATATCCTCTTGGGTTTTATATAAACAAAAAATGAAAAAATCCAAAGTGGATATAGACACATGGGCATCTGCTCTGGGCCGAGGTCCGACAGCATCACCAGCTGTAGGTCAAGGGACCCATCCAGGAGAGCACTGTCCTCCAAGACCCTCTCATCTTCGAGGAGCTGTTGCAGGCCTTGTAGTAGCCCAGGAACCATACTCCAACAAGGGTAACACTTTTTTTTTTTTTTTTGGGGGGGGGGGGGGGTGGTGGTTGCTTTATAAGGAAACCCAGACCCCCAAAAAAACAAAGGGTAAAGGTAACCTACTGGGCTACCAAGAGGCACACCGGGTAGCTGTACAAAGTGCGCAGGTGGCACTTCACGGCGCCCACGCTTCTGAGGTCGTCCGCGGGCGCGGCGGCCAACACTTCCCCCGACAAGCTGCGCACCCGAATCATGGCGCGGCCATCCGTCATCCGGGGAGGCACCGTAAACTCTATAAACCCCAAAGTCTAGAAGCCCTAAGCCCTGTAAACCCCAAACTCCAAGAAACCGTGAACCCTATAAACCCCACGCTCTAAGAAGCCCTAAACCCCAGAAACCCGAAACCCTGTCAACCCTAAACCCTATATACCCTAAACTTATACACCATCAACCCTGCAAACCCTGAGCCACCACGTCCAGGTACTCACTTGAGAAAACCTTGAGCCCGGCCCTCACAGTATCCATACCTTCGAGTGTGTAGGGGCCCTAAACCCTACACCCTAAATCCTAAACCCTAAACCCTAAACCCTACCTGCCGGTTCCAAGACCTCATCTGTTTGGGGTTTAAAGGGGTGCTACGCGGCTGTCTGGGGAACTTAGAGGAGGCTCTGGAAGTTTAGGGTTAAGGTTTAGGGTTTAGGGCTTAGGGTTAGGGCTTAGGGTTTAGGGGTTAGGGGTTAGGGCTTAGGGTTTAGGGTTTAGGGTTTGGGGTTTAGGGTTTGGGGTTTGGGGATTAGGGTTTAGGGTTTAGGGTTTAGGGTCAACCTGCAAAGATCGAAGGTTCCAAGTATTGGCCCTTACTTTCGGTCCCTTGTCATCTTCCCTTCTAGACGCTCTGCAGAATAAGAGCGCAGACTTCGGATCCCTATAAACAAGACACTATACCCTAAGCCTTAGGGTTTAGGGTTTAGGGTTTAGGGTACCCTAAACCCTATACCCTAACCCCGAAACCCTAAACCCTAAATCGGGGACCACACTAAGGGCCAACCTTAGAAAACAAAAGTATGCTTGAGATTCTGAACGTCAGCCCTTGAAAGGTATCGAAAAGGATTAGGGTTTAGGGGTTAGGGCTTAGGGGTTATTATACCAGGGAAGAAGGTGCTACAAGAGCAAGACTCCCTCTGCATAATTCAAGGACATCTACCTCTGATAAACGGCTTTTTGTGGCCAGTTCTGGGTTGCGTGTGTTGTCCACAAGCCAAGGGTTGAGGCCCCTAAACCCTAAACCCCAAGCCTGGGGCTCGCACGTTGCCAGGGCCGAGCAAGGAGCCGAGGCGGTCAAGGAGGAACAGGCGCACCGCGAAGAAGGTCTGAGGGGCAAAGGATTCATAAGGTGTGGGGTTTAGGGTTTAGGGTTCAGGGTTTAGAGTTTAGGGTTTCGGGTTTATACTGGGGTTTAGGGAATTTAGGGTTTGGGGTTTAGGGCTAGTCTCCCCCAAAACAAGGCACACAATAGTTAAAACACGCTGATCTTTATTGGGAACCCTATCTACACTCTCCAAGGACAGGAACATGAAACCCTAACTCACATAACCTAGGTTGCTCAGAACCTAGGATTAAAAAGGGTAACTACCCGTTGTTGCTTAGAGGGGCTTATAAGGGACCCTAAACCCCCAAAATGAGGGAATAAGGGTACTACTGGGCATCCTTGTACCCAACAGGGTTTAGGGTTTAGGATTCGACGCTCCTTCTCTGAATGATAGCGTGAACTTCATCAATGGTTTTCCACGCTAACTGGCAACCCCCCACATCCATCTGTACAGGTGCACGGCGAGAAGCCCAAGAGCGTTCGAGCTAGGGTTTAGGGTTTAGGGTTTAGGGTTTAGGGTTTAGGGATTAGGGTTTAGAGTTTAAGGTTTAGGGTTTTAAAACTCCTGTATTCAGAACTTGCGCGCCACGGTGGAGCGTAGCGCAACGCCTAGAATACATGTACTGCTCTAGCACACGGGGTTCAGTCAGTGTAAGGCTTTTGGGGCTGAGGACACCCAGACGCAACAGGCGGGATGTAGCTTTAGGGTTTAGGGTGTAGGGTCCTTAATGGAGGGGGGTTCATGGGGGGGGGGGTAGGTACCTAGAAAACCTTGGGTTACATACCCCCCTTAAAAGGTCGTAGCAGCTTCTCCGAATCTCTGGCATCGCCAAGAACTAGCTTACGCCTTTAGGGTTTTGAAACGTAGGCGCTGAAACACAATTGTGGCTTCGTCTACAACTCTAAGCAAAAAGGAACATGAACCAAAAAGGCGTGCCAAAGTCCCTAAACTCCAAACTCTAAAGTCCAAAACCCCGAAGCCCTAAACCCTATCATTTGAGTTTAGGGTTTAGGATTTCGGGTTAGGGCTTAGGGCTTGTGGCTTAGGGCGAAGGGCTCAGGGTTCAGGGTTCAGGGTTCAGGGTTCAGGGTTTAGGGTTTAGGGTTTAGGTTTTAGGGTTTAGGGTTTAGGGTTTAGGGCTTAGGGCTACACCCCCCCAGAAGCGCCCTCGGCACCGACCTCGTCCAGCTCCCCGAGCTCAGCGTTCTCGGCATCCTTTGGTCGCAAGTACCGTTTTTTTTTTTTGGGGGGGGGGGTGGGGGGTGGGCTTTTTAAGGGGTCTTCAGGGGCCTATAATCAGGGGTCTTAAGGAGCCTATAATCAGGGGTCTTAAGGGGCCTATAATCAGGGGCTTATCAGTACTTCTCAGGGTTGTTGTTGTTTTTTTTTTATTTTGTTTTTGGGGAAGGGGGGGGGGGGGGGGGGGGGATGCTTTTAAGGGGTCTTAAAGGGCCTCTATTCAGGGGGCTTGTCAAGTATGTTCTTTTTTTGGGGGTGGGGGGGGGGGGGGGGGGGAGGAGGAGGTTATCATAAGGTTTCTTAAGGGTTTTTAGGGGGCTTGTAAGGTTTTTTGTTTTTTTTTCTTGGGGGGGGGGGGGTTGTTTGGGGGCTTATAAGAGGCTTTGGGGGGCCTATAAGTGTGTTTCAGGCTTTTTGGGGCTAAACCCTAAACCCTAAACATCCTAAGCACCCTAAGCACCCTAAACACCCTAAACACCCTAAACACCCAAAACACCCAAAACACCCTAAACACAAACCTAAACACCCTAAACACCCTAAACACCCTAAACACCCTAAACACCCTAAACGCCCTAATACACCCTAAACACCCTAAACCCTAAACCCTGAACCCTGCAAAGCAGCCCCCGTCCTTCTGCAAGTCCCGGACAAGGACTCCCACCGACGCACTCCCGGCCACATCCTGGTTGGGGGGTGTGTACCACGAAGGGGGACTGGCAAAGAGTTTTCAATGTACTTATGGGTGGTTGTCAACATTATGGTCCCTTTTTGGATCCCTATTGTAATACAACACCTAACATTTAGGGTACCCCAATAGGGATCATATTTTTTGACAACCACCCGTATGTGAAAACTCAAAAACTCACAAGTAATCAAAGCCTGAGGCCCCCTGCATGAACTTCAAGGACTACGTAGCAGGATGTTTTGGGGTTCTGCGCTTGGGCGAACCAATAGGCCCTATTGAAGATTCGGGTTGCGAAGCTTTGCCTAGAGGGTTGTTCCAAATCCTGCACCCGTCTTGATCCCTACCGCTAGAGCAACCCAAAGCCCCGAAACCTAAACCCTACATCCCCTAAACCCTAAACCCTAAACCCTAAACCCTAAACCCTGAACCCGAAACCCCTAACCCTAGACCCTTAACCCTACATGCAACATGAACATGAAACTTCAAACTGTCAACCCAAGACATGGCACTTCACGATAGTAAGGGACCCCTCGTCTGGACCCCCAAAAAAAAGCTGGGACCCCGCTGATACTAAGGACACCCAAATTTCGGAACCCCCTACATGGGGGTTTCCGAAACTAGGGGTACCTTATTGGGGTCCCTATTTAAAGGGAATCCTGGAATCCTACTATTTGGGGGTCTATATTTGGGGTCCCCTATAAACCCTCAACCCTCAACCCTCAACCCTCAAACCTCAACCCTCAACCCTCAACCCTCAACCCTAAACCCTAAACCCTAAACCAGACAGATTGTTCGCTTCAGGTGTTAGGGACCCCGACCGACAGCAGGAGTTCCACGTGCCTCGCGAGCCTGGGCGGTGCGCAGCGGTTAGGGCTTAGGGCTTAGGGCTTTCGGGCTTAGGGGCTTAGGGGCTTAGGGGCTTAGGGGCTTCGGGGCTTCGGGGCTTAGGGGTTTAGGGGTTTAGGGGTTTAGGGGTTTAGGGGTTTAGGGGTTTAGGGGTTTAGGGGTTTAGGGGTTTAGGGGTTTAGGGGTTTAGGGGTTTAGCGGTTTAGGGGTTTAGGGGTTTAGGGTTTCGGGTTTGGGGTTCAATTTTGGATTCCAAAGGGTTCATTTGGGGAGCAAAATTGGAGATCATCTGCGTTTCGTGTAGTAGCTTCTGGATGTTGTGTGGGACCTTCGGGGGGGACGAGGGGCTGCTGTGAGAAGACATGCTTGTTTCCGAATTTCGGGGTACCTTATTGGGTCCTTCATTATAAGGGAATCCTGCTATTTGGGGGTCTATTTTCGGGTTCCTGAACCCTAAACCCTAAACCCTAGGGTATTGCCAAAAAAAGATTTCCTTATTTTTAGATACACAATCTCAATGGAATGTTTGGACTTCAGTAGACTCGGTACCAAATTTTGTTCCTGATGATGAAAATGGCAGATACTCATCAAAACATGAAGATAGTTTAGCATGTGTAATACTAGTCCATGTAGTAGCCAAAAGGTATAGTGCCTGATGGAATCAAAAACCGATGTCCTTGGATTACAGCCCCAGAATCCCGGCTCCAGCTAGTTGTTTAAGGCCTCGAAAGAACGAGGGTTTGCATTGGATCGTCAGGCTCTGACAAGACCCGGATCTAGTTCATGGTTGGGATAGTTTTAAAATTTTAAATTGATATTCCTTATTGGGTGTAAGTACCCTTGAAAATGTAAAATGTTACCCAACTATGACAAAGGGATATGGTTATCATCTGCGGCTGGGGACGGCACTCCGACTGTGAAAACACTCCAAACCTTGCCAGCATGGACCGGAAGGCGTCCGCCGTTCTGGCTTGGCGGCTTTGATTTCCGCTTTGATACAATGGGATCTGCGGCTCACTCATAAAAAAGAGGTGGTGTCCAAGTCCAATGTGATAGTTGTCGTTCGGCACTCGGAAGGTCATCCTTCGAGGATTTCGAGTCAACGCATGTCCCGGCAAATCTCTCTGACACTTAAAATTGCGGAACTTAGGGTTTAGGGCTTAGGGTTTGGGGTTAAAGGCACTAAACCCTAAAGAGACCTTTCCGGGGAATCTTGGCCCATAAGCGGCACCGTCCTGGGCTGGAGGGCACGGCTTAGGGTTTTAGGGTTTTAGGGTTTTAGGGTTTTAGGGTTTTAGGGTTTTAGGGTTTTAGGGTTTTAGGGTTTTAGGGTTTTAGGGTTTTAGGGTTTTAGGGTTTTAGGGTTTTAGGGTTTTAGGGTTTTAGGGTAGGGTTTAGGGTTTTAGGGTTTTAGGGTTTAGGGTTTTAGGGTTTTAGGGTTTTAGGGTTTTAGGGTTTTAGGGTTTTAGGGTTTTAGGGTTTTAGGGTTTTAGGGGTAGGGTTTTAGGGTTTTAGGGTTTTAGGGTTTTAGGGTTTTAGGGTTTTAGGGTTTTAGGGTTTTAGGGTTTTTGGGTTTTAGGGTTTTAGGGTTGTAGGGTTGTAGGGTTTTATGGTTTTAGGGTTTTAGGGTTTCAGGGTTTCGGGTCAAGAGTTTAGGAAGCCTTGGATATTGCTCCTGTAAACACAGCAAGGATGATGGGCCCAAGAAGCAGTCTGTGCCTCTGAACACCACAGAAACCACGGAACCAAAACAAAACAAACCCCGAAACCCTAAACCCTAAGACTTGAACCCTAAGCCCTAAACTTTAAACCCAAGTTTAGGGTTTAGGGTTTAGGGTTTAGGGTTTAGGGTTTAGGGTTTAGGGTTTAGGGTTTAGGGTTAAACCCTTCAACCTAAATGCAGTTGAGATATGAACCTTTGAAGATGCGGGGGCTGCAAAACAAAAGCATCCCTGTGGAGGCCAGCAGCAAGGCTTAGGGTTTGGGGTTTGGGGTTTGGGGTTTGGGGTTTGGGGTTTGGGGTTTGGGGTTTGGGGTTTGGGGTTTGGGGTTTGGGGTTTGGGGCTTAGGGTTTAGGGTTTAGGCTTTAGGCTTCAGGGTTTAGGGTTTAGGGTTTAGGGTTAGGGAATCCAGCTGCCGTAGTCGCATGGGCACTTGTACTTTGTTAAGATGCCGGTTGATGCTAACCAACAGCCCACAAACCCAAAAAAGGGAGATGGGTGCCACCGGGCTGTTTTGAATCAACCCAAAGCCTTGTAAACCTGTAGAGAAGCCCGAATCCTAAACCCTAAACCCTAAACCCTAAACCCTAACCCTAAACCCTAAACCCTAAACCCTAAACCCTAAACCCTAAACCCTAAACTGCTCAGGTCGCAGCTCAAGCTCCAGGTGTTGTGGGAAAGGGTGTGGGGCCTCCATCAGCACCTTCAGGACATGTCTGGGCCGTTTAGGGTTTAGGGTTTAGGGTTTAGGGTTTAGGGTTTAGGGTGTAGGGTTTAGGGTTTACGGGTTGGGGTGTTCCCCCTTGTACTATCACTACTAGGGATTCTAGTACCCCCCCCCGAAAGTTATCCCCAAGGACTGTTAGGCATAAGGGGGCACATCCCAAGGGTTCGGGGTTTAGGGCGTCAGGTGATGCTAGGGGCTTATAGGTCACCGTATACTAGGTCCCCAAAAGCTTGTGAGATCAACAGGATGCTCGTTTATTCTGCCTGCAAGGGCCCAAGATTGGTACTGCCGCGCATCTTAGTATTGGGAATACTTGGCCCCCCATAGCGGTTCGGCAACATAAGGTTGCTATGGCTGACATCATACGGACCGATAGGCAATCAACATCTGCTGTAATCATTTCCTATGTATTTGGGGGTTTCCGAAAAATAGCTTGGTTTCTGCTCAGGCCATGGTCGCAAGTAGTTGATCGTTTGCCATGACTGACTTGACTAGGCCCATGGTCACTTCGTTAGCCCAAAGCTCATTGCGCTCCTGGCCCATCCGACCAGCACGCTTTTTGCTTAGGGGTTTCGGGGTTTGGGCCCCGTGTCGCTCTGGTGAACCCGATGCTTTCGCCCGCCTCAAGGTTTCCTGTGGGCGGGGTTTATGTCCAGAAGTACCTAAACCCCAAAACCTACACCCTAAACTTAAGCCTCCGAAGCCCAAGAATTTAAACTAGCCATGAACCAACAAACATTCCTTCAATGGGGGGTTTAGGGTTTGGGTGCAGCGTTTCGGGGGTCTAGGGGTTTGAAGGGTTTTTCAGGCTCAGGATGCTTTAGGGTTTTAGTGATGTAGGGGCTATGCACACAAACCACAGAACAAAAATAGCTTGCTTGCTTGCGCACTCCTCAGGGCAACCGTCCTCGTCAAGCAGGTCTCTGGTACCTAAATGTGTACAACCTTGCGGGAAACACAGCAGCACCAGATCAAAATTTGTGTTCGAAGGTGGCTGCAGGGAGAAGCAGGGACTGTTGCCTGCATCACTGACATCGCTGCACTCTGCGCCAAAAGCGCGGTAGAGCTGTACGAGCGGGCAAGCAAGCGGCAAGCTACCAGCACAGCTGAGCGTAGCTGCCAATGCGAACCCCGTACACACTGCCCGTAAACTACTTGTATGCATAACCTCTCACTCGACATGTTCATTCTTCACTCCAAGCTTTTGCATGAGATCCATGGCTTTGCGCTCCATAGATCCACGTGGCGCCTGCCCGAAGAGCTGGATGCCTCCATCAGCAACGAGCGCGCTAACAAGAGCCTTTTCCATGTCTTTGTGCTCATCGCTGAGTCGCAAGAAGAGCTTCTTGTGCGTGGAGACGTGCATATTCTGGACACGGCAAACCTTCACTGCACCAGCGAGCTGCGAAGCCTTGGGCGGGTGGCTCGCAAGGAAGTGCTCGATGATCTCCTGGTCAGCTGCCCCGAGATTGGCCTTCAAGCAAAGGAGCAAAGCAACCAGGGCGTACTCATCTGGTTGTCCTTCTTGGTGGCCAGAGTGGCCACGTGTGCGGTCGGCATGAAGCTGGCGAGCTTGTTCACAAGCTTTGATCGCCCCATGATTCGCCTCAAACTTGATGGTGGAGTAAGCCATGCTACAGAGCAATCGCAAGTCTGCCGCATTCTTGAGGCTCAAGCGTGTGATGATCAGGAGTAGCTCTCGCTCAAGGTCCGACTTGTTGCTCGCTACGGCCCTGGTCTTGGCTGGCTTCTCGCCTTCAAGCTGAGGCCGAAGGTGCGCTGCCCACTGGTCGGCCATGGCGCTGGAAGTAGTAGTCGATGCGCGGTCTCCGGAACGCAGTGGGCAGGTGCGACGCCAAGTGTGCTTGAGCCTCACCCAGCAGTCGGAGCGGAACATCACAGATTGCACACTTGCAAGGCAAGCTCGCGTGTACTTGATGCACTGTAGCGCTGCCTGCCGTCTGGCTACAGTACCCTCGTCTGATGCTATCATGCAAATGGTTGCGCGCCACTCGCACAGAGGCCAAGGTAGCCCGGCATGCGCAGCACTGGTTACTGATGGTGAGCAGTGTTGCCAAAGAGCGCCTTTGTTCATGTTGTTTGCTGTGAGCCAGATGTACTGCGAGAGCACGGTAAGTGGGGAAGGTGGCATTGCACGGCTGGCCATCAGCGAGCAGCGCATCACATGCAAAAGTCTCATCGGCGGCATCCGCTCCTGGAGGCGCAGCAGACGGAAGCGACAAACCTGGAGGGGGGACCAGGCCTCCCAAGTACCTCGTCCTGAGTTCTGCCGGATCTTGTTGCAAGAAGGCTTCACGGAAGTCTGCATCAACGAACAGCACGAGCGGCCCGTCAGCAGCCGCAGACATGAAACCACTGCTGTCCCATGTAGCCAGCTGTCGAATGTCTTCACCCAGCTGTCGCATCCAAGCGTGTGACCGATCATGGATGGCACCGTTCTCGTCGAAAGGCGCCGGAGTGCCAGGGATGTGCCCGAAAAATGTGAAGAGGAGCGCGAGGTGCTCCTCGGGCCTAGCCACAATGCGCTGCCACCACTGCAGGCGTTGCACTGACAATTCAACAGCTGTAGGTGCAGAACGCAGGAGGCGCCACACATGGTCGTTTGAGAGGGCCTTGTATTTGTCCACACTTTTCTCGCACGCTGTGCCTTGTAAGACCTTTCTACCAAACTTGAGGAGCTCCTTGTCCAGGGTACGCACATCAGGCGCCTGCACAGGAAAAGCAACCAGTCCGCTGTAGGCAGCTCCCACAACCATGCTCTTGAAGACCGTAAGTCTCCATCTTTTGACACGACACTTGGCCCAGAACTTGCCGAGAGCATAGTACGCAGTTCTGGCTGCTTGTACTCTACGGCCTCGTTCATCATGGAGTTGGCCATCAAAAGCCAAGTACGGCCCCAGGTAACGAGCGTGTCGCTGCACGCTGCCAGGGACGATTCTGGGAAGAGTGAAAGCGTTTCGCAGGTGGCTGTTGGCACCCTGTCCGGCAAAGAAGGGCAGCACCTCTTGCTTGGCTTCATTTTGCGCAAAGTCCGGAGCCAGCGCACGTGAAAGAAGGGTGCTCGACAGCGACGCGGCATTGTGGAGGCAGAGCGCACTGTCTGCTCGCATGGTTCTTGCCACATCATCAGCGTAAGAAGATAGCGAAACATCCATTTGCATGGGCACGGAGGGCGGGTCAACAGACTCCGAACGCTCAACCGCCAGATTGCCCGCCAGTATGTTTGCCAACCCACGCTGCAGCTCGGGACTGGAGGCTGTAACGGCCAGCCGCTTTGAACTTTGCAAGTAGCTGTCCAGGCGGGGGTGGTAGGCAGCCAAGAACCATGGGCCGGCAATAGTGTCACCAGGGAGGGTACCGCTCCCAATGCTGCAGTGTAATGCGCCATCTGCACAAGGCAAAACCATCTGAGCCATCTGCAAACGTTGTCGCAGGTGTGCACACTCAGCGCTGGGGAGTTGTGTAGAAGCAAGGAAAGGTGCCAAGGTGCGCTGGTGGCTGGCGCAAGCAAAGGCATTTGCGAGGTCGTAGAAGGCGGTGAAGTGAGACACACGTCCTTGCTGCAGCCTGTGCCGCAAAAGGCTCTGTTGCAGGATGGCCTGTTCGCGCCTGCGATGCGCCAGGTATCCAGCAGCGTAGTGCCGCTTGTAGGTGGCAGGGACACGCTTCCACACTTGCGCGTAGTAGGCTTTGCCGAGAGACTCCAACGAGTGTAGCAAGCGCAAGCCCGCTGGTCCAGTCTTTCCATTTCTCTTGGCGATGGTGAAGGCTCCGGTCTTGTGCCAGCATCTTGGGCTGGCGCGGGAAGCTTGCATGCTGGCATGCAGCATGAGGAAACCAGACGACACGTTTGGACTGGGCAGGGGCACTTGGCAGTTGCGCACGCCATTTTGCCTGCAGCGCGTGCCCTTGTCTGGCTCCAGCAGCATTCTCCAAACAGCAGCAGGAAAGGACCAAGGTGGTGGGGTTTTGCGAAGCTTGCTGTAGCGAAGTTCCCGCTGAGTTCGCCACGCTGACCAGCGCCCCATGCGAAGGTGTGCGCCAGAGACTTGCACGTCCATGTTTGGAGAGACGTCAGTGGCCGGGCAAAGGGTGGCTGAGACACCTCCCTGTGGCCCCTGTTGCGCCAGGAAGTGAAGCCACTCAGATTTGTCAAAGAGAGGGGTGGCTGGCGCAGCCATCTGCCGTCGCTTTGGGCCGATGTTCTTCCCGGCCAAGATACGCGAGACCTTCCAGGCTGTTGCAAAGTCCTTCTTCCTCCATGCCTCGGCGACTTCGGCCACAAGTGCAGCTTGCCGAGCATGATATAGGCGTCGCTTGATGCGACGGACCACTTTAGTGGCCTCCTTACAGTTGCCAGCAGCGACGCTGACCTCCGGAGAATCTTGAGGGTGGTCGCGGAGTCGTCGTAAAGCGAGCCTGGCAGCGCGTCGCTCCTCTGTTGCAGCAGCGAGGTCAGTGTCCTGTTTGTTGTGCTTTGTATCCGCGGGGCTTTTTCTGAAATAGCACAACGCTTGTTCCATGATGGGTTCATGTAGCGCTTGATGAACAGCATCCGGACCCTGTTTTGCAAGGGAATTCCAGTCGACCCCTTGCAACCGCGACTCCACAGCGTGCACAAAGTCAGGGAGCCCTTCTCCTCGCAGGCACCGGTACAGCTTATCATGATCCCAGACGATACGTTCATCCTCTGCGGCACCGTAGCGGAGTCGGATGGTGACATTGAGGACGAGTGGTCTGTGATCGCGTCTGGCATTGCAGTCGATAAGCTGCAACGCATCTCCAGCGCGGTCCCACACTTCACAAGACTGGATTTGGGGGCGAAGGGCTTGAGGGAGGAGGAGATAGTCCACCCTAGATGTGGATCTGCCATCGTTAGAGTAGAAGGTAGGGCTACAACGAAAAAAAGTGTTGCCAAAACAAAGATGGTGTCGCTCAGCAAACTGACGCAGCAGCCGCCCATTTGTGTTTTCCGGCGCCGGATTTGCTGTTCCCACGGACGCAGACTTGGACATGGCGTGAGTATGCTGCAAGCCAGGGATCTTGTCCAAGCCGAGATGCGCATTCCCATCCATGAAAATAAGAGGAACACAGCGATGACCATGTTGCGACACCAACTCGCACATCCATTTGCAGATGCGTTTTGACAGGTCTGTCCGAGTATCGTTGGGTGGAAGATACGCCACAATGCAAAGGAGATCCAGCTGCGGTGTTTTGAACCTGGCAGCCCCAACTCTTCCGCGTAGCTCACCTTCTCCGCTCCAATGTCCTCGAAAGTGCTTAGGTGCAATGTATCGTCTATGAGCCCACAGCTCCAGGCCAGTGGATGGATCACCTTTGGCCCACTGCAATCGATTGAAATGACCCAGCTTGCCTTGTTGAACAGAGTTGTCCAATGCACGATTGGTGCCCACAATCCCGACCAAGTGACACGACTTAAACTGAGCCAAGCAGTCATGGTCTCGATTGGCCTGGAGCATAGAGAGAGGGTTGTACACGCAGCATCGTATGCTGCCCATGGCTCACACTTAGCATGTGAGCGGGGCAGTGGCAGCGAAGATCTGAAATCAGGCATCTGCGCCGAAGAAGGCTGTCATGGCTTTAGGTAGTTTCGATGGGCGCGTGGGGCGCTTGAGGTCAGAAGCGCCTGAACAAAAATAGCAGCCTAAGTCCTCTTTTGTTGCCTGGACTTTGGACTTTGCGGATTTTAGGGATGAGGGGTTGAGGCATGGGGTTCTTGATCCAAGCGGCCTGGAAGAACATGGAGGACTTGGAGGCTCAGGCTCATGGGTAGTTGGAACTATGCACAGAATCGGATTTGAACTCCATATCTCGTAAACCCTACACAGACGCTAAACCGCCTGGCCCTGAACCCCATGAATGCCCAAAGCCCTGCGTCTCCAAACCTACACTCAAGTCTATATAAACCCTAAACCCCCTTGAGCCCTAAACCACAGACTCCAAAAGACTCCTAACCCGAAACCCCAAACCCTACAACGCTAAACTCCTGAACCCAAAACCCTGAACCCTAAACCCTAAACCTTTTCTGGGGCCCCCGCCCGGTGGATTGCGAACCAGAAGTTCACACTGATGCTCCATGAGCCGCCTCAGACATGCGGTTTAGGGTTTAGGGTTTAGGGTCTGGGTTTAGGGTCTAGGGTTTCGGGCTTAGGGCTTAGGGCTTAGATTAGGGTTTAGGGTCTAGGCTTTAGGGTTTAGGGTTTAGGGTTTTAAGGTTTAGGGTTTCGGAAACACTTCTGAGGGTCGGATGTAGGGTGTATCGGGTTTATGGGGCGTATAGGGTTTGTAGGGCTTAGGGTGGGATGTAGGGTTTAGGGCTTGTGGGGCTTATAGCGTTTATAGGCTAAGGTTTAGAGGGTTAACAGGGTTTTGAAGGGTTACGGGATGCGCAGAATATTGGCACCAGCCCCAAACCCTCTAAGGAACGACCCCCTTAGAGGGTTTAGGGCTGAGGCTTTAGGTTTAAGTTACGGGATGCGCAGAATATTGGTACCAACCCCAACCCTTGTGGGGGGGAGGGTGCGAGCTAAAGACGCCCGTCTAGGAGCACGGGCAGTGCTAAACGCTCGGGGCTTCGGGCCTTGAGGGCGTCACGAACCCTAAACCCTAAACCCTAAACCCTAAACCCTAAACCCTAAACCCTAAACCCTAAACCCTAAACCCTAAACCCCAGCAACCCGGGGACTGCCGCCGTAATCAAGGAACCCTGAACCCGATGGGCGCTTGGGGGCGAGGTGGGAAAATCCAGCATCCCTCAGGATGAGTTGGCGTTTCCCAAAACAAGGGTTTAGGGTTTAGGGTTTAGGGTTTAGGGTTTAGGGTTTAGGGTTTAGGGTTTAGGGTTTAGGGTTACCCTAAACCCAAAACCCCCAAGCCGTATAGGAACTCCCAAGAATGCAACAGTCAAGCCTGACGACGCAGTCTCGACTCTGTTCACAACGGGGTTTTCGGGTTTTAGGGTTTGGGGTTTAGGCTAAACGGTTTAGGGTTTAGGGGGTATCCATGGTCGGCGATTAATCCTCCCCCCCCCCCCCACCCCTCGCGTCAAAGACACGCTTCAACAAGGATGCCCGCGTAAGCACGAACCGATGCGTGGTCACGTCCTCTGGTGGGCCATGGTGAAAAATTTTGCGGCGCCCTCATGAAGCCCTCATAAAACCTGCTTGGCCGATGCACCTTAAACAACAGGCACGGTCCAATAAACCGGAGCCCCTAAACCCCAAACCTTTGACAGTTGTCCCTAAACCCTAAACCCGAACCCCGAAACCCTAAACCCAAGCATCAGGGGAAATCATAAGCTGAGCCCGCGCGCGCGAAGCAGAGCCCTGCACGTGGTGCCACCAATGCCTGGAGAGAAGTCGGGCGTAGGATGTCGGGATCAGGGACGCTAGACCCCAAACCCTAAACCCTAAACTCTAAACTCTAAACCCTAAACCCTAAACCCTAAACCCTAAACCCTAAACCCTAAACCCCTAAACCCCTAAACCCCTAAACCCCAAACCCTAAACCCTAAACCCTAGCCTAAACCCTACACCGCAAACCCTAAACCCTAACCCTAAACCCTGAACCCTAACCCTAGTCCCTAAACAGCTCTGGGCTCTGGGCTTCGGGGTTTCAGGGGGCACAAGCGAGGCCTCATGATACAATCACAAGCGGAGCGGTGGCTCACGCCTATAAACCCTTTGAGTGGGTTTAGGGTTTAGGGTTTAGGGTTTAGGGTTTAGGGTTTAGGGTTTAGGGTTTAGGGTTTAGGGTTTAGGGTTTAGGGTTTAGGGTTTAGGGTTCAAGGCGAGCCCTGAATCCTAAACCAGACACCCTGCCAAATCAACCGGAAGCGATTTTTCTACTTATGTTTGGAAGCAAACAAGATGACATTCCAGGAGCCCTAGAAAACCAGGCCTTAACCCTGAAATCCTAGACCAAGCTGTGTTTCCTAACCAAACAGAACATTTGCACCAATTGCACTTCTAAGGGTAACCACCCCCCCGACACCGCGGAAATGCTGCTTCCACCGCGTGTCCTAAACCCACTTTGAACTCCAAGACTCTAGCAAAAACAAACCTAAATCCCAAACTTGGGATGCTCCCCCGTATACTAACAGTCCTTAAGCGGGATTATTGCACCCCCGAGTATGATCCCTACTAAGGACTGCTAGTATAAGGGGGAACATCCAAACCCCAAACCCCAGACCCCAGACTCCAAACCCTAAACCGCCAAACCCTAAACCTCCAACAGAAACAGGGCTCTTGTTGGATCCTTTGCCGGGCCCCCTTGCGTGGGGATGAAGAGCGCCTCACCTGGTCTGAGCGTGGCAACCTCGGTGTTGGGGTTTTGGGTTTAGGGTTTAGGGCTTAGGGATTAGGGCCTCAGGGTTTTAGGGGGCGTGGCGCTTAGGACTTGTAGGGTTTATGATTCCCCGAAAATACGACAGCCATGCAACTCCCAAAGCCCGGCACGTTGTGTTGCTTTCGGGTTTCTGGTCTTCCGTCTTGTGATGTGCGCCAGGTAACTCAAAGTCACTGGGTTAACAGTAAACCCCAAAAAGTGGGAAATCTTTTTCAGGACAAACAGTGCTGGGATTTCCCATACTTTACTCTTAGGGATTGAGGCTATTGAGTTTCCAATTTTTTGGCTTCTACTGTAGGCTTCATGGCTTATCCTAAACCCTAAACCCTAATCCCTAAACCCATAACCCTAAACCCTAAATCAATGGCTGAGACTTCTCTGCTCTTTGCCCTCTCCAATGTCATCTTTCCGAGTCTTTCCGTTTAGGGCTTCGAGCTTGTTGGTTTGGGGTTTAGGGTTTGGGGTTTTAACGTTTAGGGTTGAAGTTTTCGGGTTTAAGGCATCTATTCTGAGGGGGGGGGGGTGCAACACATTGTCCCAACCCCAACACCCATGTACAGCATAGCATTTCTGCAGGTATATCGCATCAGCAGAAAAGGCGAGCACCCTAAACCCTAAACCCTAAACCCTAAACCCTAAACCACCCCAAAGCCTCACAGCCGCCCTGACTGCTGCCAAGGCGGCCGCACCCCTCTTCGCCAAGGCCTTGTTGTGGAAAGCGATCCGAAGGAGGGTTTAGGGTTTAGGGTTTAGGGTTTAGGGTTTAGGGTTTAGGGTTTAGGGTTTAGGGTTTAGGGTTGAAGCAAAAAATGTTGGAAGAACAAAGGGTGCCCCTTTTTTGCTTCAAGAGCTTTTACAAGGGAACCGAAGAACAAAAGTTGGGGTTTAGGGTTTAGGTGTTGAGTTCGCCTAAGCTTGCAACCCGACACGCCTTATAAACCCTATGAACCCTATCGTCGCCCTAAACCCTAAACCCTAAACCCTAAACCCTCAACCCTAAACCCTAAACCCTAAACCCTAAACCCTAAACCCGGAAGCCTGAAGCCTAGCTCTCAGGGTAGTTACAAGGTCCCTTAGTGTGGGCCCCTTAAATACCCCGCATGTGCCCTTTACCGCCCAAGGGCCCATAGTTTTCAAGCGTGCTTGGGGGGGGGGG